CAAAGTTGTGGGAAGCTTCTGGGAACCTTGCAGCAAAGTTGTGGGAAGCTTGTGGGAACATTGGAGCAAAGCTGTGGGAACCTTGGGGCAACCTTGGAGCAAAGCTGTGGGAACCTTGGAGCAAACTTGTGGGAACCTTGGGAACCTTGGGAGAACCTTGTGGGAACCTTGTGGGGACCTTGTGGGGCAAAGTTGCGGGAACGTTGTGGAACAAAGTTGTGGGAACCTTGTGGGAATCTTGGAGCACAGCTTTTGGGAACCTTGCGAACCTTGGGGGAACCTTGTGGGGCAAAGTTGTGGGAACCTTGTGGAACAAAATTGTGGGAACGTCGTAGGAACGTTGGAGCAAAGCTGTGGGAACCTTGGGGGAACCTTGTGGAACAAAGTTGTGGGAACCTTGGGAACTTTGGGAACCTTGCAGGAACCTTGCAGGAACCTTGGGAACCTTGTGGGAACCTGGCGGGAACCTTGGAACCTGTGGGAACCTTGTGGGAATTTGGGGGAATGTCCTTGGGAGCTGCTCCGGCTTGCTCCGAAACCTTTACTATGGCTGAAGACCCCAAAGCATGCTGCTGTTGGGGAAAAATCTCTGGAAGACGCATTAGTAGCTGGCTGACTGACAATTCAATGTGGGGACTCCGTCCATTTTGGCTAAGCAAAAATACTTGGTCGTCTAGGCAATGAACTCCAGCCACTCATCTTCAGAAATCGGTTGTCGGAAGAAGCCCTTCTTCTCTTCTTCCTCGTCCTCCTACACATGAGAAGAACCGTTGCACAAAATCGGCCAACATAATGGCATGATTTGGCGATCTCGCGTATTACTTTTGCAAGCTTATATAATTGTCCAAGTCAAATGCCACACAGTCACGATCTTGCATTTGCATATTTCGTCCCAAGCTCCGGCATTGACAGAGCTCCAAGGACGCGCACTGCATTGCGAAAGTTTTCGTAGAGCTCCTTTCAGTTGAGCCATGCGGCTCTGCAAATTGTGGTGTTGAGTATGCCGTACTGCGAAATGCAAGCGTCCTCTTGGGTGAGAAGTCCCCTGGGGTTCCCCTCCGGACCCACAAGTCTTTCCTCAGGAAGAAATCAGTCAAGATTATAAAGAGTATGTAAGTGTTTGAGGCATAAACCCCGCTACTTGCAGTATCTGCAAATCAAAATCCTGAGCTTTGATACGCATGGTATTAAAAAACAACTGAGACTAGATCCAAGCAATTAGACGCCAGGGGGGCCAAAGCATTTGCCGCTTCCAGATTCCGCAGCACACCTACCTGAGTGGGATGTGCCTCAATGAGCCTACCGCATGTGCAGGAAGAAGAAACAAATATCCTTCTTCTCCTCCTCTTCTCCTTGTTTTATTTCTTCTTTGTTTCTTCTTCTTGTTATCCTTCTCCTTTTCCGTCTGTTTCTGCTTCTGCTTCTGCTTCTGCTTCTTCTTCTTCTTCTTTGACTTTTTATTTTTTTCCTCTTCCTCTTCCTCATGTTTTTCTTATTATTGGTGTTGTTCTTCGTCTTATTCTTCTTATTTTTATTTTTCTTTTTATTATTCTTCTCCTTCTTCTTATTCTTGTTCTTCTTCTTATTCTTATTATTAGTCTTTTTTATTATTCTTTGCTATTCTTCTTCTTCTCCTTCTTCTCCTTCGTTTTCTTCTCCTTTCTTTATTTCAACATAGATGCGGAAAGCTGTTGAAAAGCGGTTGGACCAAGCAGCGTAGTCACGGTGGCGAAGCCGCTGGTGTGAGCACAGCACCAATTCTGCAATTCGGCCAGCAGCGCAGGCAGCTGTGAGAGTCACGTTTCTTGGCCAAAGGGCCTGGAAGGTCACATTGAACTTAGCTATCCCGTTCTTGTGGGTTTTCCATGTTCTTTTTGGGGTGGGGGTGCTCAAAAAAACATAGGGTGCCACGATATCCCGCCAACAAAGCGCAGCCGTTCCTGGGTCTTATCTTTTGAGCCATAAGCATGAAGGTGGGTTGGCAAAAAGTACGCTACGAAGTTATATGCGCAAGCTACAAGTAGGTTCTGTCAAGAACCTGCTGAATTGTCGTAGCACTTCTTAGACTGGTAGGGCCTGGTAGGGGAAAGTAAATCAAAGGCAAAAGTATGGCTTGGCCTGGCGAAATCGCCCAAGCGAAAGGTGGCTCCATCCAAACTCGCAGTTGGCTGCAAGGCTGCTATCTTGCAAAAGCGGTTCCCTGTCCAGGAAAATACGTGAATGCTTTGTTTGGAGAAAGAAAGACCTTTGACCAGCGTTCTTGCTTCTACTAGTAAGGGGTGGTTGCTTCCACGACCAAGTGATCCTGTTAGCATGGGGCAGTAGCACAGAGATGGCGAAAAGGCGCAATGAAGTCTTCCATACCAAGACACTCTCTGCTTAGCAGGTAGAGCTCTTTGCGGAACCTCACAGCTCAAAAGTTACAGCCAACTGCAATACTTGCGGTTTTGACTTTGTCTTTTTCGGGGCTGGGTGCAACACATTCTTATCCAATGTGCAGGCATTACTCTCCTAGAAACCGTCCTTAGCATCATGGCATTTCAAAAGTAAATACATAGAATTTATTGCTTTAGGCAGCTCCCCAAAGGAAGTGATCCTTTTGAGTTGTCTTGCCTACTTTGTTGAGCGTAGGATGTTAAGCATGTTTTAAAGGCCAAGGGGTCGACTGTAGGGGCTTACGCCCAACAGCGGGCCACCAGGGGGCCCAGCGGCAGAGGCAAGCAGGTGAGAGTGGGTGTTGTCCTTGCGCTTGTCTTTGGGTTTGTTCTGGTTGTTGCTGTGGTGGCGGCTGTGGTTGTGGTTGTGGTTGTGGCTGTGGTTGTTGTTGGTCTGGCTGTTGCTGTTGGATCACGGATCAGGAAAAGAAACACACACACAAAAATAACTGCCAAGAATGCAGCGCAATTTGGGCTGCATAACTCGAACCTGGGGCAGTGCTAAGCAATCTTGAAGGAAGTTGGTGTACCCGAACGAGTTGGTTAGAAAAAACAAGATGGAACCCACGAACCCGAATGCAAACACGTTCGAAAAGCTACATATGTCCAAATGACACTCTTGTAGGACACTCTTGTGGGACACTCTTGTGGGACACTCTTACGGGACACTCTTGTGGGACACTCTTGTGTGACACTCTTCTGGGACACTCTTGTGGGACACTCTTGTGGGGCACTGTTGCGGGACACTCTTGTGGGACACTCTTGTGGGACACTCATACGGGACACTCTTGTGGGACACTCTTGTAGGACACACTTGTGGGACACTCTTGTGGGACACTCTTGCGGGACAC